AGCCGAAATGGGAGATCTTCTATTCATGAAGATAGTTTATATCAGTAATTGTGTACATAATATACTGGAAAATATTCAATTTGAATATTCACATTAAGATGTTATCATATACAAAGTATATAAATTGTTTAGGAGATCATGGAGTCCGTTTTTCTACTTAATTCTTAGATACTCAGTGGATCAGGAAGTCTAAAGAGAAAGAAGTCAAAGTGTCTCAATAAAGATATGAATATGATACGTCAGAGGCAAGTTACGATTGCCTATAACAATTATTTACACATTTCTGTTAGAAAGAGTTAACCGCAGGTTCTGAAAACGTCAAGAAAGTTCTTGTTTATTTACCATATTTATCAATAGTTGTTGTGCTAAAGTTCTGAATAATCTCTCATCTGATTAGATACGCAAGAGCTTGCTAGAATGTGTGAACAATGTTTAAAACGATTTAAGTTACTGACAAACAAATTGCTGAAACAAGTATATCAGGAGGCACGTTTTAAGTCATCATTTCGCAAGTTCTATGGTTCTTACAATGACCTTGTCAGAAAATAAAATTTATCATGAAGTCAAATGCTGACTGATATTTTTCATACTAATTGTTTGGTCATTATATATACACTGAATTGTGGATGGATTTTCCTGTTGTTTCCCGATCATGACAAGGAGCAGTCGGCGGGTGTGACCGGTCGGCAGGGAAGGCTCACTCTTGCATGATCCCACATCTGAAGTGCTGAAAGTCAGTGTTTGCTCTACTTCTATTTTGTATTGTTAAATGGACTTTTGAGCTTGTATATTGTTCGTTATCTCCATATATTTCATTCTTATATGTGAAATGTTTGTCTTATGAAATGTTCACAAAGTGCAATACAATACAATGACATGTACTATTCGGCTTCGTTTGAATCTTTTCTCAATAATGGAATTCTTTGAATGGTTCATTTGATAAAGTTATTTAATTATATACATGTAGGTCTTGCAGCAGAACTTAACGTGACGATTGACTCTGATTATCACAGCCTCGCAGAATTTTTGGGTTTTTTTAATGATCCAAAATATTTTATGAATTCAAGAGAAGATGATTAACATCGAATTAAAAATAATATTGATTAGTGGTGTAAAAAAAAACCAACTCAAAAACTCTTTTACACCTAATATGCTGAGTAATGATCAAAGATTATTCGATGCGTGTATATATTTCCATATTCTTTTCTTTTAAATGCATCGTTAGGAAAGAAGATGATCTGTATCTATAAATATTTTTATTAATATCTATTCAAGTGACAACAGAAATGAGAGATCTGGAGGTTTAGGATTAAAATCAAAACACATTTTCATATATATTTCATATCAATTGATTTTTAAATGATTTTTTTCAAAGATCTACTTTTCTGAATCATATCAATAAATAGTATTATTCAACAGAAGCATCAATATTCCAAAACATAATCAATCCTGACCTTAAATTGTCACTGATGCACGGTTGCAATTACTGCTGAAAAAAATCACATTTGTCAACCAGCTTATGTTTTGGAAATGTTTTATTACAAATGTATTCACTTAATTTTATTGCTTCTCTTATACATATTAACGAGCCCTTCCCATTCCTACAAATTACAATTCAAAATATCATTATTTTTTCCATCAAATTAATTGTCATTAATAACATATTTCAAGTCATAAACTCGCAATAAAAGAAAATCATTTAATCATGAGAGATTAATTTTGACTGAAGAGTACCGTATATACTCGCCTATAAGTCGGTCCGCCTATAAGTCGGTTGTACTTTTTGAGCTTATTTTGCAGGGATTTGAATACACCGCTTATAAGTGTGCAATTTTTTGGCAGAATAATTTATTTCACTAAATTTTATTGCATTCTGCTTATAATATTAAGATATGAAGTCGATATTAAACTTTAAATAATAAAAAAATAAATACTGACCTCTCAAGATTAAAATAAAATAAAAATTTCTGCATATAAAATACATATAATTTATGCATAATCTTATAATGCATAAATGATATAATGCATACTTTTTCAACGATAGCATTGAAAATGTTTAAAGAATACTAATCGCCAAAGAAAAATCATTTAATCTATAATGACATAGATTAAAATTTTCCCAAAATACCGACTTATAGGCGAGTATATACGGTACTTAATGTAATTAAACGCTATCACCTCTCTATGTGAAATATACATTGACGATGCTTTAGAATAATATAGTCTCAGCAGGCTTTCGCTGTTTATTCTGCCAAACAAGGAAAACTGATCAAAACATGAGAACATTCAATTATGATGATCTTTCACGTCAGTGATTGTGTTTACAATGTTCATAAAAACAAATTATTTACCGATGAAATGTATCAAGTACAATTATTCGTATCAATCGAAAATATACGGACTAGACTTTTGTTCGAGAATATGATAAAAATTAAACATGCCTAAAATAAATAAAAATGGAAAAAAGAAAGTAATTTACCTCAGGTTTTATGATGACGTTTAACTTTTAACTCGCTCTGCAGTGTGTTCATTAGTCATTACTTAGCATCATTATTTCTGACACTTTTTACTTATATAAAGCATTAAAAATTAGGATCAGAAAACAAATCTTGTGTATCAACTTCCCTACTGTTTCACCCAAGACAATTATAAAGTAAGGAAGAATACTTCTCATATTTTTTGTATTTGAAAATTAATTAAATCTTCATGAAATCAAGAAGACAATATCCCTTAAAGAGGGTATCAGTAACAATTAATTTGACCCTTTTATACAAGAGGCAAGGTCAGGTCAATGTCATTATCTTTTCCGCAGATAGTAAGGATAAAAAAAAATTACCGTAACCAATCATGCGAATGTCTACTTTTATTTTTAAAAAGTAATTTTTTTCTTTTTTCATAAAATAAAATACCCTTTAGACTCTATCAGAGGATATTACCAAATTGACATAAAAATATTACTCAAACGGATATTGACTAATCCGAATTTTCTCTATTTTTTTTAAAAATTTTTCCAGTTATTTTTTAAAACTTCCTATATTTTATTTGTTCTTATTTTCACATATGGTAAATCAATAATATCAAGATACAGAAAGTTTTAATAGTACACGGAGAGAGGAAAAAGTATTTTATATGGATTTTTTGGCTTAAATCTGCACCTTGATTGGAAGCAATTAAAGATTAGCGTAATTGTAGTTTGTTTAGAATATCGTATTAATTTGACATACTTTAACACTGTAGTCTCTTATTATTAATAAAACTTACATTTGAAATTTTCGTGAAGTTTTTGATTATATAAAAAAATTAACTAAATTTATAGTTCTAAAATAATTTTGAGAAACAGAAAAAAGATATATTCATATGCTGCCATTCCGCCAAAAATATAGTCCAAGCAAACTCAGTTTACCACTTCTATTTAAAATAAAACAATCACGAGGAAGACAGAAACTTATGATCCTTTAAATCACTTACATCTAAACATATGACATAAGAAAAAATACTTTGAATATTTCATCTAGTCAGAAGACAGACAAGAACCCTTCCTTATCGAAACAATATAGGTATGTATATGAATTTCATTTTAAATTTTTCAAAAGTAAACCAGAAAAAAGGTTTAAATTACAAAAAATAGCATTTGCGATCCGTATATGTACATTTCCTTTAAAAAGTTTAAGTCATTTTTATAGCCGGATAGAGAAATGTTTTTAAAATGTTCTGGATTAGATATGAAAAGACATTTCCTCTTATCTCTTGCATTTTAATGACTTTTCATTGGAAGTTTGTGCATGTACGTATATTTCATTAACTCTTCAAAGTGTTTCTCAAAACTTTGATGTTAACTTATACATATATGAAACTTTTCTGTACACCAGAATTTGTTTTTACAAATTTTCTATCTACTAATATTTTACCTTTTCACTCCTTTTCTTCTAACTTATATTCAATTTATCTTTCTCTTTTTTCTTTGACATTTAAACATAGTGGATCTATTTTCCTTTTTTGAATTTTTTTTTTTGATTCCGAAAATAAGTTTTTTCATTCTTTAAAAACGAGTCTTGAAAAGTGTTTTAAAATTCTACTAGTATATATATAAAAAGTAAATTTCAAAAATTTAATTTTGAACTTTTTAGAAATATACACTTCAAGTGATAAGACTTGGCTTCGGTTTGTAATAATAACCAAGGAACATAAAGATTAAAAGGTTTGCCATACATGACTGACTCATTTGTTATGTGGAGTGGACCTACTTAATTGAATACTTAACACTATGCATTTAAGGTAATTCCATACTTTGTCGTTAATGAACTTTTTAAAGTTAAGCATACCAATAAACTTCTTATTGAAAAGGTCATAATTCAGAACATAAAATAGAAGTAATTCATGATGGTTTTAAATAGTCTACCAGTTCGCATATTTTTATTCGCCTTGAGTTCCATTCTTTGGAGTTTTTTTTTTAAATCCAGATGCTTTGATTAAATAATTATATTTTAAACATGTTTTGCTAGTATTGCTACAACTATCAACTTTGTAAAATGTTATGAAAATGTCGATTTTACACAACATGTTATCGTTTTATAGGAATTTCTTTTTGTTAATCTCTGAATGAAAATACCTCTTCCGTTTAAAACTTTAAAATCTTAAATTGATTTAAGCATAACAACATATCACGCTTTTAAAAGAACACAACAGAAGAATTCCTTGCCCTTCCCTTCAGAAGTTAGTCATTTCAAATTTATTATAGATTTCCATATCTATAAGATAAGACTGTAAAACTGTAAAATTTAATTATATTTTAAGGGCATAAAAAGTTATACAGTGGAGCCTCATTCGCTCCACGCTTTGGTTCTCAGTCAATTTGTCCGGGTATGTGAAGCGTCCGGATATATCTGAATTACCAGTTAAATAAGACAAAATAACATTAAAAAATTCTGTTCCGATGAAAAATCATCCGGATACTGAAGCATCCGGATATCTAAAGGTCCACTGTATAAACAAACAACAAATGATATTCACGCTTTATCAAAAAATATTGAAATAGTGATTTACAGTAAAGCTATTATAAGGATTAACCACTGAAAGAAAACAAAAATGTAAAAGTAATAAGTCATTATTCTGTCATATCCCTCCGCTAAAGTCTTCCAAGTCATTTTGTCTTCTGCTTCATTATCTTGCGAATCTTTATCATCGGCAACTTTACTTTTTACAAAAACTACATCCAATTTCGCGGAATTGTCAACGACCTTAGCCTTCTTTTTACTTTTTCTACAGATGCTCCACAGGCATCGAAGACTTAAAACATTAAACAGACTAATATGTTTGCTTGAATTAGGTAATTCACATTCTTTGAAATGAAAACGCATTGTAACGACAGCCAAAACGCATATCAATGTGCTCATAGCCATCGTAAAGATTAAGAAGTAAGACATCAAAGACATTGGCTCGGAAGATTTGGGAATATTGTCACTTAGCAATGTCATAAACACGGCAAATGACAAGAAGATGGTTATAGCATAAGACACACGTTCTCCACTTTCAACTGGTAATGCAAAAACTAGAGGATTGAGTAAGGATAATAAAAGAATAGGGGCTAACATGTTTATGACGAAATAAAGAGATTTCCGCTTCAAAATGAATTGAAATTCAAGTAAGCTATCGTAATCGCCTTGTGTAGACCGCTTCATAAGTGTTCCTTCTAACGACCATTGAGCATTTGAGGAGTAATAAGTTGTATCCACAGTCGTCGTACCGTTAAATGGGATTAATCTTGCTTCCCATGGCGAATATCCCCACAGAGCTAATGTAAAGGAGCACGTTTGTGTGTCGAAAGGAAACTTATACATGTCAACATTGCACAAAGTCTGAATCAGTCCCCCAGGTGTCCATGTCACTATGCCAGAGGAAGAAATTCTTCCTATGAAGTCTTCGTCTCCGATAGCTTCCATCTTGTTGGCAGGATCAATCAAAAAGATATCTGGAACCCATAGTTTCTTTTTAGGAACAACAAGATCCTGAATTCCACCATAGTTGCTAGGTGTCCAAGTCAATCGGAAATCATGCCAAAGTAGCATAAATCCACTAACAATGGAAAAAACTCCGGAAACCTCATCAAAATCGTTCACTGAAAATAAGAACGACACAATAGAGACATCTATTACTTCTGAGAGATTCTGCTTTGGACGAATTTCGGTTGAATAGTTTTTAAAGACATCCTGGAGAAGTGATTCGGCATCTGAGTATAGATACCCATGAACAGATGTAAACGATATCCCCTCAATCAACAACAGAAACAAACACAAACTAGCCGCCTCTTTCTTCATAATTCTTTCAGTAAATCTATGTTGAACATAACCAGCAAACTGTCTAATAATGGTCTATTGTAGAAAATATATTGGTTGTGATTTTATATACCTTATGTTTAATACCCTCTTTCACGCTTTGTCAATTTTTGAACAGTCATTGTCGAAAATCAGTTACCTAATTGTTTGCCTTATAAACAAAGAATTTTTTTCCCAATTATCAAAAAGTAATATCTTCTTTTAAATATCCAGTGCATTTAGAGGAATAAAATCCTTTTTACGTATGTAAATTTTCACCACACATTCTCTTGCAATTCCAACTCGAATTTTAAAATAGGAATCAAGATACCATATTCCTTTCAACCTCGTTGATAATGATTGTGTATATTCGCTAATAAAAGCCTCGAAATTTTGGTCTTATATATGTATAAACCATGTCATATCGTCAAGTAAGCAGCCTCGACTTGCTAGATGCATATAATCGGTTCATCTGGAATTGGTAATGAGTCGATCAATGATAATTATTAAATAACCGTAGTTCAAAGATTAGCACCAGGTACTGCTATCAATTTATTGGAAAGACGAGTAAAAATCGTCAACACCAGTCGATAAAATAAATTTGTCTAAGGATCTGTGGCATTGTAATATTATCTAAATTATATTCCTTAACATACTGTTATTTTTTTTTCTGAAGATATATTGTCTTTTCCCCTGAAGTTAAAGAGCAAACAAATCGAACTTTTTCAACGTCATTATCTAATTAACTAATGGTTTTCTTTTAATTTATCTTTTGTTCGCATTCAAAATATTTTACTATATATAAATTTAATTTACTAAATTCCTATTCCCTCTGCAGGTCTTAATAATTGAAACAACGGTGGAAATAGAATTGTGGTATATTAATGCATATCTCCGGTGATCTTTCAAAACTAATTGCATGTATTTTTTAATATTCGGAAGTTTTAAAAAGTTATTATTAATAGATCCTTTACAGCACAATACGTTTTATAGCAGTTAATAGTTTTTATGATACTTCACCTCTGCAATAATAATCAATAAAACATTTTTGTGACATCAAATCTTTGATCTTGCAGTTTAAAAAAAATAACTGTAGCCGGTGTCGCATAATTAACGTTATATAATTAAAATCATAATATTGGTTCCGGATTTTACTGTAAGATATGGTTCCAGCTATGGCTTCAATGCTTGAATCGCGATACAGCGTTCGATAATAATGATTACAAGTTCAATAAAATATTATCAGACGGCTGTGATAACAAATCAGACAACATGTAAAAAACAACATGTGAAATCAAGGTTCAATACTTGCAGAAAAGTTAAGGGGAAAATACATTAAGGGAAATCAAATGAAGGAAATAAGAAATTTAAACAAAATCGAATTTTAACCTTCCACTACATGTGCACTTTCCATTGTTTAGTTTCATACTGTTTTTGATAAAACAATTTAAATAAGTGAATTTAAATCCATTTATCATTACAAAAAAGTCGCCCATATCAGCCATATGGTGCACCGATTAGACCGCCTGCTCCAGAGTCGTGAAGTACAAGGAGTTGATTCTTACGTCGCATCCCACTCTGCGACGTGGATGAGATCGTATAAACCGAGTTCCCGTGTTGCATTTAGTGCTGGCACGATAACGATCCCTCATAGCTTAATGGCCCTAAGTTTATGCCAAGTATAGGACAAAATTTGTAGCTCTCTACCTGACGCCTCCATACGAGTGAAAAATTCTCAAGAGGAACGTTATTCAACACACAATCAATCAATTATTCCAAAAAAGAAATCTGAAAATCTGTTCATTAAACAAGGTTGTTCGTCGATTATGGCACTTTTCATTATATCACCAAACTAGAATTTTAGATAAAAATCCGCATTTTTACTTTCCATGCTAATGATATCATCTAACGCCGTGTCTGTTTCAATGTCAGAGGCACTTGATTAAATAAATGTTCCGAATTACAAAATATTCCTTCGCCACCTGACCACTGTCCATAATTCCTGCTAAGCTATGCGACTGCAACTGAATCAATCAATGAATGAAAGAATGAAACAATCAAGATTTCCATGACCTCTCTAAAATCCCTCTCTCTTTTCTTTTGTGTACTTATTAGATGGTTTCAGGATGCCTGATCTCGTATTATGTAATTATCGAACTCCCCTAGTTAACTTTTGAATATTTAAATGGCAATGTTTTAAGTAAAATATATGCCTCATACAATTCTTTATGTAGAATTATCACTGATTTTTTTTCAATAGCATTAAAATACACAGAGAAATATTTGCAAAGATTCAATTTTAACAATATACATGTAATTGAGTTTTGAAACCATTATTTACATGTAAAACACAATAATTTAGCATCAAAAGTCTTAATTTTCTTCCCTAACATTATAAAAATGCTACAAAAAATTATTCTTTGAAAAATGCTAAAAATTTAAGGATACTAGTAGGTATCTATATTTAGATATATGCCCCAACATAAGAAAAACACAATTTCATACTTAAATAATACCGAAACGGAGATACTTTAATAACTAAAATATCTAACTAAATTTTACACAGGGTTCATTTGTAGATACGTTACTTTACCCCCCTCTCCAACCACCACTACTCCACCCTCCCCCACCAAAAAAAATATTTTACCTCTACCATTCGGTGCAGATTTTTAACAGTAAGAGAAAACTTGACCGACATTTCTCTAAAAATAAAAGAGTATATATTATCATGTTACGAAAATTACTAATAGTTCAACGCTATATTTTACAGCCAACTTGAATGTACATTAGTTCTAGCTAGAATTCTAAAGTTTGGTCTTTCGAGTTCATCATAATTATGTAAAACTGAACAACTGAACATTTAAAGTTCAACTTTATGTTCAATTTATTCATTCAAACCATATTAATGGTACATGAGGTTCAACAATATATGTACAATATATAGAAAAAATAATATACAAGATATACGTGAAATGGCGGAAATACATTCATATAAAGTAACAAAAACAATTATGGAGGACAGACTTTTTCATATACTCTATTTATGTAACTGCATAGTTTAATTAATACCTTGGAGTCAGCAGATGACAACAATTCTGAGAATTTGAAAAAAACTGGTCTATTAAAATATTTACTAAGAAGATATTTTTTTTCTATATTTGGAAAAAAATTTACATTCTAAAATGTAGTGATACTCATCAGCTATTTGTCCATTATTACAAAGATTACATAGTCTATCATTTTTGTAAACATCTAAAACGATGATTTGCTGACGTCTGTCGGATTGGTAGTTAATTGGTCACCATGTCAAGAATAACAACCCCCTTTGTCATTGTTTCGGTTTGTTCCCATCTCGCCATAACTGTAAAATTTAGCATTCCCATTTCGCCTTAGTAACCTCTCAGGTGAATTAAGGTGAAAAAGATTTAATATATTTAGCATAAAGTATTAAAAAACTTAGTATTACATGTATTATTTCATTCACTGTATTCATAAATTCCCATTACCTGTTAAATTCAATCTAAATTTTCAATCTTGACTTTGAAAAAGAGTAGGCTTTCTGAGGGCCGCCAGAGGAACCAAAAACTTTTTCAAAAACGGTCAAATAAACTTAACGTCACAACCTATGACTTAAATGTTACCAACAATAAATAATCAATCAAAAAAGTATTTCAATGGTATTGTGAACAGGTGCGCCTAAATTACTTTATTCTAAGTAGTTATAACATATCATTATAATTCAGATGCCTATTGCCAGCAATTTTTAATCAAAAGTCAATGTGCGCGAACTTAATGGACAACCATCGTTCATGTATCACGTTGTGTTTTTTTCCAGTTCATTCGATGCAAAAGAACGTTTAATAAACACGTATACCTGTCGATTGGTCGAACGTTCACTGAAGAATAGAGGATTAATTTTTTGTTCTCAGTTTCTGCTAAATTGTCTACCCATTTATTCGACCGAGACAAACGCTAAAGCTGGCCTGATGGATCCGCGCACGTGTTTAATTCTGTTCGCCATCTTTATTTTTTTTATCACATGCGTTGAAGTTGATATCATGTGAAACCTCAAACTGTGTAATATTATTATGCACTAAACCGATCAAATAAACTGAAAATTTTCCTCCGTAAAATGATTGAAATATTGCCAACTCAGTGTTTTTTTTTATAAACAGTCTATTTAATGCACCAATCATTTTTATACGTATAGTTTGAAAAACGACAAGATTAATTTCAGTACTAGTATTCATCAAGTATCCTTTGAATTATTTTATATCATTATGAACAGACGTTCAATAAACGTTGTCAGTTTTAAAGTTATGTCATGATGCTTCGTAAGAAAAAGACGAATTAGTAAGTAAAGGGTCCTCTATTCTACGGTACACGGCAAGATGTTTTTCTCCCTTGTTTCTCGTGACCTTCTGACCTTCCTCTGTACTTTCGTAAAGTTTAGAAACAACTGGGTCATTATCCTACAAAATCGAAACAAGAATAGTTTCACTTTCGTCCATATTCTACTGTTGAAAAATTAAAGAAAAAAAATGCAATTGATTGCCTGAAAATTAATTGCAGAATGAACTTGAACGCTATCAGCTTTCCAAACCAACAATTCTTTATCATCTAATAATTAAAACCAATACGATAAAACAAATACAGTCTCACCAGTTCATCGCCAGTGATTCTTTCAAACAATGGAAACTGATCGAAATGAGAGACCATCCAATCATGTAGATCTTTGACGTCAGTAATTGTGTAAACAATACCCTGAAAACGTTTAATTTGAAATTTTTACAGTTAGTAATTATATGTACCAAGTCCATTTCGTTTATATCAATTTTCCTAATTGCTCACAGTATTCACACATCCTTTACTTCACAAAGCCATTTCCTAAAAAGTGATTTCGAAATGTTCAAGGTTGAATAAAAAATGGCAAAAATGATAACATACCCCAACTTTGATGACGTAAGCATATTCAGCTAAAAGAGTCTGACTGATAATTCTCCATTTGTGTTTTGTTTTCTTGAAATGAGGATCAGGGAAGAGAAAGAACATCTTCGAAAGCTAATAAAAAGAACAGAAAGGTTTTAAATCATACATTACGCATCAAAATTCAGAAATACGTAAGAGATGAATAAGACGTAGGAAATCTATGGCTTATGTGACATAACAGCAAAATTTCTCTCATTACTTCAAGAATTAAGATCAGTATTTATATTCATTTCTCCTTTCATAATTGACAGTTGAAAACGTTTGAATGGAAAATAAAACATTTTTTTAAAATGCAGAATCAATAGAGACCTGTCCTTTTTCAAAGAAATTTGGAAGATATTTCATAGCATTGGACCGGATGCAGGAAATGTTGGTGTACTTTCCAGGATGTTGAACTCTCAGTGCTTTGATTCTATCTTTCACATAGTCGAGAACCTTCACTCGAATTTCAATGCCCAGCATCAGCGCATCAGGAAACATTGGTGACAGAGATACTACAAATTGAAGGGAACTTGCTTCATAATGCCACATATAACTAAACTCTTCATCGGCAGATCAATAACCATGCAAATCAAAAAGCTTGTTGTTTATATACTTTATTTTTTTCTTTGTCTACACGTGTGAAGTTCAAAAACAATTTCATAACAAGGGCAACACAATGTAAAACATATCCTTGCAAAGGGAGATATCAGCATTTGACATCGATCCCAACACAGGTAACGTCACTTCCATTACATTCATAAGGAAAAAACAAACCTTTCACATACACACACGAGAGCGTTATTTATCCCCTCGCAACGGAGTTGAAAAGATAAATCAAAGATTGTTGCATTTCAACCGAAGATAATCATAAGATAAGATACTTATATTTTTCATTAAAGTAAATATGAAGAGAGAAAACTTCCAATATAAATTTAAATCTCAGTTCAAATTGTCGAGCATTTTCCCCCAACCAAATCACAAATATTTACTAGAACAACATATAAAATTTGTTTTCTAGTTGCATTTACATTGGAGTAGTAAATCATGTTCATTTTTGTTATTTTTTTCAATATATTCTTATCACATATTCCTTAAAAATTTAAGAAGGGGGGGGGTGCTCACTAAAGATGTATTTTAAGTTGAATCAGTAACTTTTGAAGAAAAGGTTTGTTTGTTGGTTTTTTGACACTCTTAAGTTCAAACAAAATCGATCATTCAGAGAAAAATAAATCATATAGTCATTATAATATCAAGGAAGAATACTAATATTTCCTCTTAATTTATTTTTATATTACAAAGCAAATTGAAAATATTACTTTAAATTTCATATTAGTTTTTAACAACATTTATTACTTTGTCGCTTCAATTCTGAGACAGCAAAAGATATAAGATTCATAATTTTAATTCATTGGGCACTCCAGCATATTACTCAGTAGAGACAAAGTTCGTATAAAGTTGCACGGAATGAAAATTAACCATTAAATCAAAAGATGACTGAAAGATTAGATAAGGGTAACTGAGTGGTAACTGAAATTCAGTTGATAAATGAATGGCAAAATATTGAATTCAGTTTTCCTTTCCTTACCTTTCAATAAACATTCAGCTGTTTAAATGACAATAAAGTATGGATATTTTTATCTTAAAAATTTATTTTTATTAGTTTTTAATTATTAGATTTTATATAGACAAATATAAAAAGTACACTAACTGCACTGTATATATTTACCAACAACATGTTCTAATATTAAGGTAATTTTTGAATACGAGAGACTTAAAACGGACAATTGGTCTTGTACATGGAAACACAAAACAACTAAGAAATCGTGAGACAAAAAGATTTCTTTGATAAGTCTAACAATATATTTTTAACAGTTTATGATACGGTGCATTATCGCTATTTAAAAGCACTTTAAACTTTTTTTAAAGATTGATTCATGAGGCAATGGATCTCTTTTGTATAAGCTTTTATAGCACATTTTCGCAAAACATGCATGAAATGAAATCATTATTCATGAAAATGAAAAGAAATGCAGGAATGTTTGAAATGAAAACAATCAAAAAAAAGTTTATCACAAATAATTTATCACGAACGCACTTTTAAAAAAAAATCTACAATATAAATATGAAAACATTTGTTTATTTCGCCATCAAACTTGAAAGTAAAAGTATGGCATTCATGTCTGACACTTTTGTACTGTATGAATTTAATGGTTTAAATGTCTCAGTTTTATAAAATGACTGTTCTATATAAAGCACTTTACTTAAAGGATTATTGCAGTCTAGGACATTCAATTTTACCTTTATCGTCAGATTTCTAATTATTTTGTATTTAAACAAATACGAAGGAAGTACACAACTACTAATATATATGCTTATTACGTTTTTTTTGCAAAGCAATGTGGCTTAATTTGATATACAAAACAAAACCGTTACGCAAAAACTGAAAACCGACAAGAACAGAATATAGCAGGTCACGTGCAATTCTTGAACGTTTTAAGTTTCGTGAAATTAGATAACTTAAACAAGTTGTTTTTGTGAAACACAAAGTTCGAAAAAAAACTTTTTTTAGCATATAGGTCACTGTCAAGGTCACAAGGACATTGACATTGGTATCATTTGAAAGAAATAGATTATTGGAATATGTATACCAAATATGAATTCTCTATCTCTCATGGTTCAAAAGTTATGGTGAAGGTTCAAAAAAGCTATTTTAGCATATAGGTCACTTTCAAGGTCACAAGGTCACTGACCTTAGTGTCATTTGAAAGAGCTTAAAAGGTGGAGTACGCATACTAATTATGAAGTCTCTATCTTTCACGGTTCATTTTTTTTAAAGATATAGCGAAGGTGAAAATTTGCAGAAAAAATATTTTAAGCATATAGGTCACAGTCAAGGTCACAAGGTCATTGACCTTGGTGTCAATTGAAAGAGCTTTATTATTGAAATGTGCGTACCAAATATGAAGTCTTTATCTTTCATGATTCAAAAGTTATGGCGAAGGTTCAAGTTTGCAAACAAAGAGACAAACAGACAGACAGACAGGGCAAAAACAATATACGGCCCGAATCTATCGATCCGGACGCATAAAAATAATCACTTAAATAAAGAAAAATAACTTTCTTACCCACAGAGGAAAATGTTTCTTTATTTCTTCCTGTACGCATGCGTAGATTTTAAAATAATTTTTAAAACATTCAAGAATTTATTCCTCGCTCAGAACTTTTGTACAGCAAGGGCTACGGCTTTCATCCTATATATTATTCTTGTGACAAGACCTTTCGTTGGATATCAACAACTTTGACCATTTGACCTTGGAGTTTGACCTACTTTTAACAAACTTTAACCTTGGCTACAACTTTTGAACAGTAAAGGCTACAGCTTTCATACTTCACATATCTTATCCTTGTGACAAGATCTTTCATTGGATATCAACAACTTTGACCCTTTGACGTTGGAGTTTGACTTACTTTTTACAGACTTTAACCTTGGTCATAACTTTTGGATAGTAAGGGCCAGCACTTTCATACTTCCCATATGTAATCTTTGAGACAAGGCCTTTCTTTACAAAACAAAACCTTGACCCTTTGACCTTGACCCAGGAGTTTGTCCTACCTTTAAAAACATTAACCTTTGTCATAACCTTTGAACAGGTGGTGCTAGGGTTTTATATTTCACATTTGTATTTCTTGTGAAAAGGCCTTATTTTAGGTATCAACATACCGTATATCCGGGGTTTTTTTTGCGTATTGAAAATTTTGTTAAAAAGGGATAGGATATTACATTTTTTATTCTGCGTGTTATTTTTTATGATTAAAGATTTTTTTGTTTAAAATGGTAATGTTTTTATGTCACATTATAGCTGACATAATTTATGCGTGTTTTACATTTTGCGAATCAAAAATGGTCGCAAAAATGCGAAAAGTAGAACATCGCGAAAAAAAACCGGATATACGGTATTTGATCTGCATTTGAGAAAGCTAAACCTTCGCTATGTTGCCATACGGGGGGATCAGTGTTTCACAAATACGTCTTGCTTTTATTTATTTGTTTTGTTTTATTGGGGGGTTAATTTCTAATTTAGATCTTACGTGGTCTTTCTTGCTTTCCAGAGCTTTGTAGATTGTAAAAATTTTGTAATACCGGTACATGAACTTTTATTTTCCATAATCTGTTAATTTATGATACAATTATCTTAAAAGAGAAACATAATTTTGATTCATTGTATAGGTCTAAACAAATTCATTCTTGTCGCTGTTTAATTTTTTACTTAAAATAAATTAACTACAAGTGTTTTAATTTGTCTCGTAATGAAATTGTTATTAATTGTCTTATCAGGAGACATATTTGAAAACTCTTCCCCAGGAGCCAGGAACAACTCAACGAGTCCATCATTCCTCTGCAAATATCTTCGGGCGAAAAAGTTATAATTAGTTCCCAGTATCTTAAGAAATATTTCTGGATCTGCTAACAGAATTGGCATTCAATGTATATTATAAGTCTAGCTTCTTATTATCATTACTGATAAAGACAAATAATGAATGCAAAACAAAATGAAAAGAAAACTCCTGAGCATACAGTTATAATTTTATTCAAATTTGCTTACAAAGTTCTTTTACAGCAACGCCATTACAAGGACGCACCACTGTATGAAAACAAAGACGTAAAAATAGTACGTCAAAAGTCTGTCATATCCTTCCGCCAAATCCTTCCAAGTGACTTTTTCCTTTCCTTCTTCAAAATTTTGCGTATTGTTACCTTCAGCCACATTACTCTTTTCAAAAACTACATCCACTTTCACAGATTTAGCTTTGACTTTAGTCTTGCTTTTTTTACAGACGCAGCACAGACATTGGAATCTCAAAATATTAAGCATAAAAACACAAGGACGTGAGACGGGTAACAGGGGATCTTTGAAATGAAAACGCATTGTAACAACAGCCAAAACGCATATCAATGTGCTCATAGCCATTGTTATGATTAAGAAGTAAGACATCAAAGACATTGGTTCTGAAGATTTGGGAATATTGTCACTGAGCAGTGTCATAAAAACGGCGAAAGACAAAAAGATTGTAATAGCATAAGATACACGTTCCCCACTTTCAATTGGTAAAACAAACACAAGAGGATTGAGTAAGGACAGAAGAAGGATTGGTGCTAACATGTTAATGACAAAATACAGAAACTTCCTCTCTAAAATTAATCCAATTTCAAGTAAATTATCATAATCAGCGAGTGCAGTCCGCTTCATCAATGTCCCTTTCAACGTCCACTGAGCATTCTCGGAGTAGTAGCTTGTGACCACTGTCGTTAAGTTATTGTGAGGAATTAATCTTGCTTCAGATGGCGAATATCCCCACAAAGCTATTGTGAAAGTGCACGATTGTGTGTCGAAAGGGAATCTGTACATGTCAACGTTGCACGAAGTCTGAAGTAGACCTGCTGGTACCCATGTCACTTGGCCAGAATAAGAAATTCTGCCCAAGAAATCCTCGTCCCCAATGGCTTCCATCTTTTTGGCTGGGTCAAGCAAAAATATGTTTGGGACCCATAGTCTCTGTTTGGGAACAGGGAGATGTTCGATGCCACCATAGTTGCTTGGTATCCAGGTCAGTCGAAAATCATGCCAAAACAACGTAAAACTACTAACAATGGACAGAACTCCTGAAACTTCATCGAAATCATTTACTGAGAAAACAATAGGGCTAACGGAGACCTCTAAAGTTTCTGACATGTTCTCTTTTGGTCGGATTTCTGTTGAGTAGTTCTGAAACACATCCTGGAGAAGTGATTTGGCGTCCGAATACGGATACCCATGGACAGATGTTGACAAAATTCCACTGATCAACAGCAGAGAAAAATAAAAACAAGCAGATTCTACTTTCATAATCCTCTCAAGCAGTCTATGTGGAGAATTAAGCCAGCTGCATTTAAATGGTCGACTGTGAAAAATATTTTGATTTTTATTTCAAGCACAATATATCTAATACTCTTTTCCGCATGATCACTTTTAAATAGTATTTCAAAATGATCAATGATGTTAGATTTCTACTATGTATTAATAAAACAAAGATCTGCTCAACAATTATCAGAGAGCAATATTTGCTTTTCAGTTATCGCCAGAAGAATAACCTCATAATAATTGAAATAAAACCTTTTTACTGTAAATTAATGTTGACACCCTCTTTGGTTCCTCTGAATGCTTGCATATTTCCATATAGGAAAAGATTCTTTTGATTAGTTAATTAAACTTAAGTGAAAAAGTAAAGACATGTAATTAAGAGGAAAATCTTTTTACATTTATGTAAAGTTGGTGTTGTAATCCAATAACTTTGCGGTTAAAATACAGCTTTAGACTATTCCGATTACACAGATTTAGTCTTAGCTTATAAATATTATCAGCTTATCTGGTATTCTAGCTGAGTCAAGCAATTAAATTATGTATTTTATCTAGTGAGGTAAATTATGAACTTTATTGAAGCATTGAAGATTAATTTTTGATGTTATCCGTAATATACTACCATTTTAAACTCCACATCAAATCCATCGTAAAATTATTCAATGTTATGGCATAGTTTGTAATGAATCTTTTTTTCCACATGATCTTTTTCGTTTTAACCATATAACCTTATGCACACATTCATTAACCTGAAGTTAATCAAAGAAACACTTTATTTGATGTACACAGATGGATATAGGGCCTGTTTTCGCTGAATATGATTAATTGGTTAACCAATGGCTTTTTATTTCAAATATTCCTTGGCTTTCAAAAACAAAATAATCTCAATATATATAATTCCCTGCGAACATGACCAATCTTAATATGCCTGTTAATACACATGTACTCCTGTTTCGTAAAAGAAGGAGATAACAAAAAACGATTTGTGGTAGTGAATTGAAATACATATATATTAGCATAACCTTTGGGATATCAATTAATCTTTTGCATGTAAGTTAACTGTATTAAAGACTCTTCTTTTCTTATTATACAAGCATGTAGCTACTGATTCCTCGAAAAGGACAATGCATTTGACAAAACCCCACAGAAATGCATGCTTTAATCATGTTAATACTGAACCTGAAAATCACTTTTCGAGTACTCCCCATATAAAATTAAACACGAATTTTATAAGAAAATATAGGGTATATTGCTGTTATCCCGTTCCGTCAGTCCGTCCATCTCTTACAATATCTTCTTCCTAATCATACGCTTACTTTCAAACAGAAGCCAACTCATCTTAATGACTAAATTACATCTGAAATGATTATAAGCACCAAAATATACTCCATGTTTTGAGTTCCCTATGCCCTATATCTACATGTTATCTTTAACATCTCCATAGCCTCACTTTGACGTCACTTAACGGTGAGAGTTTCTCCGTGTATATCTCAAAAATTATACCTTGAGTATACATGAAAATGACATTCAAATCAATTTCACAGTTGGCTTAGTAGAAAAAACACGGAGAAATAGTGAAATATTGTACTAAGATGTATCAAAATCAAATAAAAGTGTGGAAGGAAGTGGTACTTCGAAAATTTTTAAACAGGCTTATCATACAATCTCATCAAGTATATTTTATTAACGACCAGTACAACAGTAATTAACAGACACAAGCACACAAAAAACACACAATGAATAAGAAAGCAGTTCAACATGTTCAATAGAACATTTAAAAATGATATACTAGTAATCAACGCACAGTTTCAACAATTTCCGAACTTAATTAATAAATGGTTTTGAACTCAGCCTACGTTCGAAAAAAAAACAACTTTTGAACAATTAATACCTGTAATCTTATTAAACAATTTCACACTGCCAATACCACTCCAAGGATAAGCCACTGTAGAAATACCAGAACGTAAAAGTAGTTCGTTAGTATTTTATCATATCCCTTCGCCAAAATTTTCCAAGTGACTTTTTCCTCTTTTTCATCATCTTCTATACTTTTGTCAACGGCTATTTTACTTTTTACAAAAACTATATCCAATTTCGAGGACGTGTCAGTGACTTTAGACTTCTTTTCACGTTTTCTACAAATACGACATAGGCATCGGAGTCTCAAAACATCCAGCATGAAAACACATTTACTTGAAACTGGCAATTTAGGATTTTTGAAATGGAGTTGCATTGTGACAACAGCCAAAACGCATATTAAAGTACTCATAGACATCGTTACTATTAAAAAGTAAGACATTAAAGACATAGGCTCAGACGATTTAGGCATACTGTCGCTGAGCAAAGTCATAAATACGGCAAAAGATAAGAAGATGGTTATAGCATAGGACACACGTTCTCCACTTTCAACCGGTAATGCAAACACAAGAGGGTTGAGTAAGGACAATAAAAGAATTGGTGCTAACATGTTTATGACGAAATATAGGGATTTCCTTTTCAGAATCAACTGTAATTCGATTAAACTATCATATCCTCCAAGTGCAGATGGTTTCATAACAGTCTTTTCTAACGTCCACTGAGCATTTGACGTGTAATAAGTCGTATCCATGGTTGTGAAATTGCTAAAAGGTGTTAATTTAGCTTCAAATTGTGAATATCCCCACAAAACTAATGTAAAAGAGCATGTCTGTACATCAAAAGGAAATTTATACATGTCAACGTTGCACAAGGTCTGAATTAAACCCCCTGGTACCCATGACACCATACCCGAATTTGAAATTCTGCCTATGAAGTCGTTACTTCCAATTGCTTCCATTTTATTAGCTGGATCAATCAGAAAGACGTTAGGCACCCATAACATCTCTTTAGGCACAGGAATATCCTGGATGCCACCATAGTTGTTGGGTGTCCAGGACAACCGAAAATCATGCCATGTCAAGAAAAATCCACACACAATGGACATTACACCAGAGACTTCATCGAACTCATTCACTGAAAACATGAACGGCAAAAGAGAAACTTCTAACACTTCAGACAAGTTCTCTTTGGGGCGGATTTTTGTTGAGTAGTTCTTGAAGACATCCTGGAGAAGAAAATCGGCATCTGAATACATAAAGCCATATACAGATGTCAACGTTGTTCCAATGGTTAACACAAAACACCAACACAACAAAGAATTCTTCGTCATTTTTCTCTTCAGAAACGTTATATGGCTGAAACTGGTTAATGTTCAAAAATATATCTAATTTTTTTTATAAGCCCAATATTTAATCCCTTTTCTTCAGTTGATCATGTTTAAATACTTTTTCAAAACAACTCCTCTTGAAATTCAGTCGTCTCATTGTGTTGTCAAAGGAAAACAAAAATGTCTCTTTAAAAATGTTGAGACAACTAAGGGTAATTAGAATGCAATCACCTTAAGAGAATAAGCACATCCATTTCTTCTGTAGTGATTATATACATTTTTACAATAAGCTGAAGAAATGTTATTCATTTCCTCATTATACAAACTTTTCCACTGAATCTTCGTAAAATCACGACAAATTTCTTTCCCATATCTCTAAACACGACGGGGAATATTCGATGTTGAAACTGAGAATATAAGCTCTCGACTTTTGCAAAATATGGACCTACGTCAAGAAGTAATAAGAGGGTTATTCAGAGATAATCCCAACACTTCTTTAGCTTATGGATCTAACATTAGCAGATCAACGATTAAATGGAGAGAAGTCTCCGACATTTAATCTCATCATTATCATTAGTACAGTGATGAGCATTGAACATATCGACACCAGTTATGCAATAATCGCAATTAAATTATAAAATACCCAACATATTTTAAATGGTATTCTTTCGTTAACCAGAATATAAAGCAATGATCGAATTTCTTTGGAATGAAGCCTCCTTCAAATAATAGGAATTACATCGGTCTATTTATCTGATCTACTAATGGATCTTTATTTACATGTTCTCTTTGATTGCATCTGGTTAATCACTTAATCATCATACGTGAACGTATTTATCAAAACTGCACATCAGTAAATTATCTTAAAGGTGGAAAAACAAACGGATGGAGAACGCCTAAATGGGAAGGAATGGCCGGGGTATTAAACCAATCTTTATTCGCGTGAAAGGAATATTCGCGAGTTTCGCGACCTTCTTAATCCCTCGAATATTAATTGCTGCTTACCAATGAATTTGCTTTGTGTTAAAATAGAATGTCCCCTCCGAGGCGAAAATTAATTTTCGCGGATTGATTTCAATCTGACAATTCACGAATAAAAGATGACGCGAATAAAAAAGTGTTTACAGCATGTACATGACTGTATTATACTATTTAGAATACTGTAGAAAAATAAGTTTTAATGCACCCCTTCAACAGTTGTGTTTGATAATTTTATTTTCATTCAAGACTTTGTGTTTGATATTATAGTGTAAAATTGGTACGGTTTATGACAAGGAAACAGAAAAAATCACGTGCGTGGGCTAGTCTAGTCTGGGGCGAAACATTGGATAGTTTATTAAGTATCGGACATTCAAGCAAGGGATCTTTTACAAAATAGTCAAATCAAATTATTAAATAAATGAAAACATTGTACTAAAACAGAGAGATTTGCTTTTGTGAGGACGGTGTTGACAAATTTTAAATAACATTACCACATGTAACATTCATGTGAGAAAAATCTAAAAAATGTCATTTTATATCATTCACAAGGGAAGTAGTGCATTTTAGAAGAAATTCTATATTGACGATAATAAATTACACTGTGTTTAACAGTATTAAAATAAGATGCGTTTGTTAAACACTATGCTCCTGGCGGCAACAAAGTTCGTAAAAAGCTATTTTTGGCATATAGGTCAGAGTCAAAGTCATGCATTGACCTTGATATCATTTGAAAAGGCTTAATGAGTGGAGTAGGAGACACATAAAAATATGTCCCTAACTTTATTAGTTCAAAAGTTATGGCGAAGGACAAAGTTTGAAGACAAAAAAATATTTTTAGCATAAGGGTCCGAGTCAAGGTCACAAAGTCATTGTTCTTGGTATTACTGGAAAGAACTTAATTGATAGAGTATGCATACCAAATTTAAAATCTTTATCTTCAAAAGTTACGGCGAAGGTTAACATTTGCAGAAAAAATTCTATTTTAGCATATAGGTCACAGTCTAGGTCATGAAGTCATTGGTCTCATTTGAAAGAACTTTATTAGTGGAGTATGAATACCAAATGTGAAGTTTCTATCTTTCATGATTCAAAAGGTATAGCGAAGGTTAATTTTGCAGACAAATGGACAGACAGGAAAAAACAATATACTCCTCGGATCTCTTGATCCGGACGCATAAAAGTCTGAGAAATTTGCATCAAAATTTAACAGATATAGCAAATGATACCCAGAAAAAGACAGTAAAAAAATAGAAGTAGTACATTAATACTCTATCATAGGCACGCGCCACACTTTTATAAGTGGTAACATTGTCCAATTCATCACTTTCTCTGTTTTCCGATTTACTAGTTCCTACACTAGTCTTCACAAACACTACATCTTTGACTTCATTTTCTGCACCAATCCTAGCAGATCCGGATTTTTTCTTCTTACAACAATTAAATATAAAATGGAGTTGAAGAAGTTTTAAAACATTCCGTAATTTTCTAGAAACTTTTGCTTCTGGTTCTTTTAAATGAAGATACATAGTGAATATTGTTAAAATAGTCATGAGTGTGCTCAAACACATCGTAAAAATCAAAAAGTAAGACAGAAGAGCCATAGGTTCTGATGATTTTGGCATGTTCTCACTGAGTAAAGTCATAAATACAGCAAAAGATAAGAAAATCGTAATTGCATAGGAAATGCGTTCTCCGCTATCCATAGGTAAAACAAACACCAATGGATTCAGAAAGGATAGGAGAAGAATCGGGGCCAACATGTTGAGAATGAAATATAGAGACTTTCTTTTCAGAGTCATCGTGATGCGTATCCGACACTGGTATTGTCCAAGATTTGACTGGGCCATGTGAGTCTTTATCAAATCCCACTGGCCATTTTTGTTGTAGAAAGAAGTGTCTACATTAGTGACATTATTCCATGGAAGCAAGATGGCATCTTCAGGGGTATATCCCCAGAGCATAAAATTAAGCGAGCATTCCTGTGTGTCGAACGGAAACCTGAACATGTCAATGCTACAAATGGAAGTAAGTAGTCCACCTGGCACCCATGACATGTTGCCATCCGAATACATCCTTCCGAGAAAATCGCCATCTCCGATAGCTTCCATTTTATTGGCAGTGTCTATCAGAAACAGCCTTGGGGCCCAAATCTTTTTGAGTGGAACGGGCAAGTTGTCCAGTCCTCCGTAAGTGCTCGGCGACCACGCGAGGCGAAAATCATTCCATTCCAGTCTGAAGGCGGCTACCACTGACAGTATTCCGGATATTTCATCTAAATTGTTCAGTGATATTAGATAAACATAAATGCCCACTTTTGTTGGTTCGGACAGATTCGTCTGAGGACGTAAATCAGGATTATAATTCCCAAATAAGTTTTGGTAAAGAGAGGAACTGTCTGAAAACATTGCTCCCTGAACTCGTGTTCCAAATATAATGCAAATGAGAAACATGGAAGAAATAAACCACATCGTCTTCATCTGTGTCTTCGTAAAATTCTCCAATCTAATAACTCCTGATGTTATTTGTCAGACAGGCAGAATAAATAGGACATTTATATAATCAACTGCATATTTCAAAATCAGATCAAATGTTAAAGCCCGCTTTAACATTGATCCCAATCAATGTGAGGATTAATGAAAAAACACCCAGAGGTGACCATGCCAAGTAGAAGGCATGAAAACAAAAAGTGTAAGGTCATATACCTGAACATTTAAAGGAAATAAGAAACAAATTGTACTTAATTGATAGTGTAAAGAGATTAATTCCTTGTGAAAGATCTTAAGTCAAAGTTTTTACAACATTAAAATCATATAGCATTTGAAATATTCATGTTTAAGAAATAAGGGTCATTTCACATTTGTTGTAGCTTAAATTGTAATCTTATTTCATTAAATGTCCCAATTTCGCTATCATTTGAGAAGCGAAAGCGGAAGATCTAATTTTAATTAGATTGCTACTATTATAACCTTTTACATTTTCAAGTTCCAAAACAAAAATAAAACATGGGTCGTTGTATTTATATATCCAACTAAAATATGCATTTATATGCTTTCAATAAGAAATACATAAATCTTCTTAGTTGATCAGTTTTAAATATTTTTAAGCCCCCGTAAAAACGAAGTTTTGGGAGTATAAAGTTTTTTTCGTGTCCGTCCGTCTGTCTGTCTAGCTGTCTCTCTGTTTGTCTGTTTGTCCACAAAAATTTTAAACTTGCCCATAACTTTTGATTTAGTGGAGCTATGACTTTCATACTTCACGTGTGTATTCCTTGTGACAAGACCTTTCTTTGGGTACCACCAAATTTGACCTTGACCTTTGAGTTTTACCCACTTTTACAAAAAATCTCAAATTATTACTTTTGCCATACCTTTTGAACATTAGATACCAGGACATTTATACTACACATATATATTCTCTGAGGAAATTTCATTGGGTGCCAACAACCATGACCTTTTGACCTTGACCTTGGAGATTTCCGTCCTTGTAAAAACTAGAACTGTCCAATAGGGACAAATACCCCCGCGGGTTTTTCAGAGTAGGTGCAATTTCACAAATATTTATGGATCTATTAAGAGGTGTTCACTATTTTCTTAGAAACAATTGGAGTCTCCACAAACATACATATACGCACATATCTTTCATGTGGGACATGAATCACTTGATATTTAAAAAATATATATATTTTAAAAATATATATATTTTAAAATAATATGTATTTTTAAAATATATATATTTTAAAAATATATCAATTTAACTAATTAATCTTCAAAACTTAACCTTTACCAAACAGATTTTAGAAATAGGAGACTGCATGGCCATCAAATGACAAATGCTATTTAAACTGACCAGCACTTCTGTCCAATTCCCAAAGGATTCAGATAAGAGCTGCTTCATCAGAGATATGCTCTAACAGAAATGATTGAGACAGCTAGCTTCCCTACATAGAACTCATTAATTAATCTTTGACTGGAAGCATGTCCACTAATTACTATCATGGGATGAATGGATCTTAACTTTCTCCTTTGTAATGCAATCGAAATGCACAATTGCATGTTTCATTCTTAAATTAAATCTGAAAACAAAGATTTTGTATAACTTTGTTACAAAGATTTATACTGAAAAAAATTTGTGTAATCTTGATGCATCATTTTGAATAAGGTTCCTGCATGATTATTAGATTTTTAGGGGCTATCTACCAATTTTTTTTACATACTTGATTCATTTGGATTTGATATCAGACTAAAAGTTTCAATCTGAAATTCGCATGGAGAATGGGCATGGGAAATGATTCCAAAAACACCCCCCTCCCCCCACACACACAATATGATTAGTTTTAATTATATTACACGAAATCAATTAAGTTTATTATACAACTTCATAGTGTATTATACAATATCCAATTAGTTTGAAGTTGCTTTTTCTCAAATTCATTAAATAAGTTAGGCTAGTCACTAAAACAATTTTAGACTGAATCCTTAGCCCAGTTCCCAAGAGACAGATAACTGCTTGATCTACCAGTTAGCTCCTTACACTAAACTAATTAATTTCTCTCTAACTTGACATGCAATTTTCTGTTATCAAAATTCTCCTTGACCAGTGCTTGATAATTATACCCATGGGAGAGGTAGATTTTCTCTTATAAAATAACATTTGTTATGGATTGCTGTAAAGTATATAATGAAATTTTTTTTTTCTTAATTTAACATGTTTTAAATAGGGATATTGCAACAGTCTTACATTGTTGAGATTGTGTAATTCAAAAGTAAAAGATAGTGTTTTCTTTTTTAATTTTACTTTAATTACTAGTAAAGGTCACAGTGACCTTGAAATAGGTCAGGACACACCCTCTACCCAAGATGCATAAATTGGCCAAGTTTGATGATTGTAAGTCTAACAGTTCTCCAGTTATAAGCCAAACAAAACAACAAAATAAAAAACAAAAAATGCCTGTAAAATGCACAAAAATCATCCAATCATGATGAAAATAACAGGTGCAAAGCTTCATATGGTGAAAAATAAGTGTGCAAGTTTTCAGACAAATCCATCCAATAGTTTCTGAGAAATGGTCCGGACGAAATCTTGTCTACAGACAGATGGACAGACGGACAAGCTGATTTCAATATACCCCCCTAAACTTCGTTTGCAGGGGTATAAAAACTTTAACCTTGGCCATAACTTTTGAATAGTAAGGGATAGGGCTTTCATACTTCACATATTTAATCCTTGTGAATTTTGACCCTTTGACCTTGACTTTGGAGTTTGACCTTCTTTTATAAAGCAAAGCTTGACATAACTTTTAAAGAGTTAAGGCTAGTGCTTTCATACTTTAAATATTTAATCCTCGTGACAAGACCTTTCATTTGATAGCAAGACCTTTGACCCTTTGATCTTCGTCTTGGAGTTTGACGTACTTTTTAAAATTTTTAACCTTAGCTAGGGCTTTCATACTTCACATATGTATTTCTTGGCAAGAACTTTCATTGGATACCAATTATCTTGATCTTTTGACCTTGACCTTGGAGATTTACTTACTTATGAAAAATCTTTAACATTTACTTTCATATTTCAGAATTGTATTTCCAGTGAGTTTGCATTTAAGAATATTTAAATCTTCGCTATGTTGCCAGACGAGGGCATCAGTGTTTCAAAAACACATCTTGTTTTTCAAAAAATCCTTCTTGATATTCAGTTGTCTCATTTTGCATCCAAAGAAAATAAAATGTCTCTTTAAAAATGTTCAGACAGGTATGGGTAATTAGAATTCAATCACTCTAAAATTATAAGCACTTCTTCTGAAGAAAGTAAAAACACTTTAACAATAAGCATTTTATTTCCTTATTGCACAAAATTTCCACGGTATCTTCGTAGAACTAGGACATTTCTTTGCCATTTTTCTGAACATGATTTACATGTTTACATGTTAACATATGATGTTTTAAACTGAGAATATAAACACTTGTCTTCTGTACAAAATAGACTTACGTCAAGACGATAGGAGAAGGTTCTTCATAGATACTCCCCAAACATTGTCCCCCTATGGTTATAGTATTAGCAGATCAACGATAAAATACAGAGAAGAGTCTTCGGCATTTCATCTCATCATTATCATAATACTGATGAGCAAAGAATGTACCGACATGAGTTTTGCAATGTTCGCAATCAAATTATAAAATACCAAACATATTTTTTAAAGTGTATTCTTATGTTATCTAGTATAAGAAGCAATGATCGAATTTCTTTGGAATAAAGCCTTCCTCAAATAAGAGGAATTACATCGGTCTGTATTATATATCTGATCTACTAACATGACTAATTCATCTCTTATTTCATCTCCTCTTTAATTGCATCTAGTAAATTGCTTTATCATCAAACATGAACATACCATAACAAGAGGCCCAGGGGCCACATCGCTCACCTGAGCAAATCGGCTAGGAAAAAGCACAGATCAGATCAGAACAGAAAAGTTCACTGAAGGGAGGGAGGCTTGAATTTTAATACTACTTGAGATTGTCTTCATATTAATACAGCATATGACTTTGCTGTTCTTGATAAAAAGATTTTTTGAAAACATTTTCTTCCTATATATAACTTCATAATAATTTGAATTTGATTCCTCATTGTTTCCCTCTCTACCCCAAAGGGCCATGATTTGAATAAATTTATATCTTCAATACATGAGGCTGCTTAAATGTCAATATGACTAAACATAGCTTTTCTGTTCTTAGGATTTTTTCCTTTATTTTTCTAAGTAAAACTTTGATCCACCATTGTGGCCCCATCCTACCCTTGGGGGTTATGATTTGAACAAATTTAAATCTACACTACCCGAAAATGCTTCCATATAAATACTAGTATTACTAAACACGGTTTTGCTATTCTTGGGAAGATTATATATATATATATATATATATATATATATATATTAATGTAAAACTTGGATCCCCCATTGTGGCCCACCTATCCCTGGGGGTTATGATGTGAACAAACTAGAATCTATACTACCTGAGGATGATTCCACATAAGTAAATTATATCTAATCATGGCTTTGAAGTACTTGAGAAGACGATTTTAAAATATTTCCCTATCTAGTCCAATGTAGAACTTTGATCAGCCATTTTGCCCCTCCCCAACCCCCAGGGGTCATGATTTGAATAAACTTGAATCTACACTACCTGACGATGGTTTAACATAAATTTCATCTTTCCTGGCCCAGTGATTCCTGAGAAGAAGATTTTTAAAGATTTTTCCTATACATTCCTATATAAAATTTTGATTGGCCATTGCGGAACCACCCTACCCACAGGGGTCATGATTTGAACAAACTTGAATCCACGCTACATGAGGATGCTTCCACATGAGTTTCATCTTTCCTGGCCCATTGAGTCTTGAGAAGAAGATTTTTAAAGATTTTCCTTATATACTCCTATGTAAAACTTTGATCAGCCATTGTGGCCCCAACCTACTGGGG